TAATGAGCCACCTGCGGGGCAGGATGCACCAGGAGGCGGTGCGCCAGGCGAATCTCTCGCCGGCCGAAGTCGAGCAGTTCAATTTGGAGCAGATCGTGGAGGCGCCGGCTGAGCGGGAGGATCCCAAAGTGGAGGCGGCGAAAGAGCGGGGGAAATCCCACCGGAAGCGGTGCAAGAAGATCAGACAGCGGATGACGGTGAAGGCGGCCGAATTCGAGACCGGTTACAAACCGAACGTCACCGACGGTATAATTTATAATAATTGTTTGTTTATATGTACAGTGTGTCCCGCCGTATGTTGTTTGTTGTTAGATATACAGGTGTTGTTAGATATGTAGGTGTAGTTTTGAGGCTTCAAAAGCAAATCGAAACCGCTTTATAGCCGCTCTAAAACCGCTTAACGAATTATCTGAAATAGCTTTCCTCTTCTCATGAATTGCTTCAAAACCTCTTTAAACCCGCTCTAAAACCGCTTCTAAACTGCTCAAAAACCGCTTTTCTTCTAAATTTCTTTAACACTTCTCTAAAACCGCATTTCTTCTAAATTTCTTTAACACTTCTCTAAAACCGCATCAAAACCGCTTCAAAACTTCTCTGAAACCCCTTCAAAACTGCTCTAAAACCGACTTTTCTTCTAAATTCCTTCAAAACCTTTTTTAAGCCGCATTAAAACCTTTTTAAACCCGCTTCAAAACAGCTCTACAACAGCTTTCTTTTTAAACTGCTTAAAAATCTCTCTAAAACCTCTTCAAAATCGCTCTAAAACCGCTCCAAATCTGCTCGAAAAACCGACTTCTCTTCTAAATTGCTTCAAAAGCTCTCTAAAACCGCATCAAAACCTCTCTAAAACCGCTTCAAAGCCGCTCTAAAACCGCTTTCAGCAACTCCACCACGTCCTTCCTTAGAAACTCGCACATAATATACAGTGCGTTTCCGTAATCCTCTCGTTACCTCCATCCAGAAACGCACTGTATAAACAACCGTTTTACCCAACAGTATTTTTCTCAATTAATTCCTTTACTCTTTCTAAAAAGCATCAAAACCGCTCTAAAACAGTTTTAAAAGTGCTCCAAAACAGCTTTCATTCTATATTGCTTCAAAACCACTCTAAAACCGCACCAAAACTGTTGTAAAACCTTTATAAAACTGCTCTCAAACCGTTTCATAACTGCTCTTAAACCGCGTTTATTCTAAATTGTTTCAAATCTTCTATATTTAAAACCGCTTCAAAAATCGCCTCAAATCCGCTTTACAACCGCTCTAAAACAGCATCAAAACCGAACGTCATCGACGGTAATTTAATTGGTTTTTATTATACAGTGTGTCTCACCGTTAATTATTTAACGTTTAGTAGGTATGATTTTAGTAGGTCTAGTAATGAACGCTATTAAACCGAATCGAAACCGCTTTAAATCCGCTCTAAAACCGCTAAACGAATTATCTGAAATAGCTTTCCTCTTCTTATGAACTCTTCTTATGAATTGCTTCAAAACCTCTTTAAAACCGCTTCTAAACTGCTCAAAAACCGCTTTTCTTCTAAATTGCTTCAACACTTTTCTAAAACCGCATCAAAACCGCTTCAAAACTTCTCTAAAACCCCTTCAAAACTGCTCGAAAACCGACTTTTCTTATAAATTGTATCAAAACGTTTTTTTAAGCCGCATCAAAACGTTTTTAAAACCGCTTCAAAACTGTTCTAAAACCGCTTTCCTTTTAAACTGATTAAAACCCTTTCTAAAACCTCTTCAAAATCGCTCTAAAACCGCTCCAAATCTGCTCGAAAAACCGACTTCTCTTCTAAATTGCTTCAAAAGCTCTCTAAAACCGCATCAAAACTTCTCTAAAACCGCATCAAAACCTCTCCAAATCTGCTCGAAAAACCGACTTCTCTTCTAAATTGCTTCAAAAGCTCCCTAAAACCGCATCAAAACCGCTCTAAAACCGCTTTCAGCAACTCCACCACGTCCCTCCTTAGAAACTCGCACATAATATACAGCGCGTTTCCGTAATCCTCTCGTTACCTCCATCCAGAAACGCACTGTATAAACAACCGTTTTACCCAACAGTATTTTTTCTCCATTAATTCCTTTACTCTTTCCATTCCAGGCGCCAACAAACGAAGCATGAACAGGAGCATCAATACGATCGGTTCGATCACGAATCAAGCCAGCCAAGGCCTGTCGCCGGCCGTTTCGAGCCAATTGGACAGAATTTTGAACGAATTGTCCCGTCTGTTGAACAAAGGCGCCAAAGGCGATTTGGACATATTCCAAAGCGTCGGCGGTTTCGCCGTTTTGGGCAAATTGCTCGCCTTGGGACAGGACGGGAACTGCTCGTTGCCCGTCAAGTGAGTTGATTGGATAGAAATATATTATGTAGATAGATAGAGTGTAAGAGTGTAAGAGGGTAAAGAGTGTAAGAGGGGATTTTTGAGTTGAAAAGTTGCATTGTTCTGCTTTTTTGAGATGTTTTGGAGCGTAATAAATGGTTCTAGAGAGTTTCAAATGCATCTAGAGTGTTCTAAATGGTTATAGACCGTTCTAAACGGTGCTGGAGCGTTCTGAATGATTCAGAAGGCGTTCTAAATGGTCCTAGACAGTTCTACGTGGTAGTAAATTGTTCTAAATGGTTCTGGACCGTTGTAAATGGTTCTAAACAGTTTTAAAGGCGTCTAGAGCGTTTAAGAACACTCCAGAACCGTTTAGAACGCCATCTGAATAATTTAGAAAGCTACAGAATCATTTAGAACGCCTTCTAAATAATTTAGAAAGCTCCAGAATCATTTAGAACGCCTTCTGAATAATTTAGAAAGCTCCAGAATCATTTAGAACGTTCTAGAATCATTTGGACCGCTCTAGAGTCATTTAGAACGATCTAGAACCATTTAGAACCCTCCAGGATCATTTAGAATGGTCTATAACCATTTTGAACACTCTAAATGCATATAAAACTGTCTAGTAGTCTACTGTTTTGACTAGTTTTGACTAGTTTAGTCTAGTCTAGTACTGTTTTTCTAAATGCCAGATGCCTCTAAATGACCGGTTTTTTTTCTACTAAATGCCAGATGCCTCTAAATGGTAGTTTTGTCTTTCTAAATGCCAGATGCCTCTATATATGACAGATTTAGAACGCACCAAAATTATTTAGAACGCTCCAGAACCATTTAAAACGTTCCAGAATCGTTTATAACTCTCCATAGTCACTTAGAACGTCTCCTTAGAAATCATTTAGAACTGTCCAGAACCGGTTTGAACTGTCTAGTGAGTAGACGGAGATAGATCTAGAGTGTTCTAGATAGTTTTGAATGGTTCTGGAGCGTTCTTTGGATCCTTCTAAATGATTTTGCAATGTTCTAAATGGTTCTAGACAGTTCTATACGATTCTAGACAGTCCTAAATGGTTCTGCAGCGTTCTTTATTGTTGTAGACAGTTCTAAAATGGTTCTAAAGCGTTCTAAATAATTCTGGAGCGTTCTAAATTATTTTGGACCCTTCTAAATGATTATGGAACGTTCTAAATGGTTCTAGACACTTCTACAAAATTCTAGAGCGTTCTAAATGGTTCTGAAGCGTCATTCATGATTCTATACAGTTCTAAAACGATTCAGGCCGAGAACTTTTTGCCACTACCCTCGTAGATACGAAAATAAATGTACGTAATTTGTCTTTTTTATCCTCTTTTTCTTTTACAGATCGATGATCATTTGCTGTAATCTGTGGCAGATCGCTTGCAGAGGAGCGAACGGCAGTAATAATTGCCAGTACGTGATACTGTCCAATCGATTGGTGCCCGTCATCGATCTTCTCAACGCCAAATTATCGGTAAGTGATTGAATTTGAGACAATCTGTATAAATATTGAACGAACGAGCCGTTTTTCCTGAGGGTTTGTTTTGTCTCTAACGCGCTGGTAGCCTTGTTATATGAGAGGAAAGAGGTTCATTAGAGCCTATACAGGGCTTTTTCACGGTAACCGTCCATTAGAAGTATCTCGATAATGAAAAGATTTAAAAATTTGATATTTTGGTTATAGTATTTTTTGGATAATATGAATTGATTTAAAATGTTTTCGTTTTGATTACACTTCCGGTTATACCGGAAGTTGACACCAACTTCGTTGTTTTATGTGGAAAGTGCCATTTTTAATTTCATTTTTGAATTCTATGGACTTTTTTAACTAGACTTTGATAATAACACCATATGCCAAAAATGCACCATTTTTAAGATATTACAATTTTTTTCGATATTTTTTGGAATAAACAGTCGAATGTATTTTCTGTGATATCTCTGTTAATAATGCAGCTAGAAGCTTGAAATTGAGTATCGATGATGTCCAGACATACTACTAAATGAAACTAAACTGTATTTTTAGAATCCATGTACAGGGCGTTCAAAATTGTCTGACAAACTTGGCCAAATTAAAGTGGTAATAACTTTGTTATTTCAAATGGATCACCCTGTATTTTTTAACAGTGACCAATGCAGTTTTTTAAGCCCTTTCGATTCATATGGGTATTCCCTATACCCAAATCCAGTAGTTTTTGAAATAATCGAAGTTTTATTAAATAAGGTATGAATTTTCTTTTTTTATGAGTTATCTAGTTGGCCATTTTATGACCTTATGCCAATGCGACATTTATGTATTTTTATTTATGTTTTTTTATATATGTTTATTTATTTTTAGAATCCATGTACAGGGCGTTTAAAATTGTCTGACAAACTTGGCCAAATTAAAGTGGTAATAAATTTGTTATTTCAAATGGATCACCCTGTATTTTTTAACAGTGAGCAATGCAGTTTTTGAAATAATCCTACATTGACCCATTATACATTATAACCCAACATTGACATTTTTGCTATAATTTCAAAAACTGATTTCATTTGTCGGATTAACATAAGGTCATCATATAAGGCCAACTAGATAACTCAAAAAAAAAGAAAATTCAAACCTTATTTAATAAAACTTCGATTAATTTTAATTATTATTTCAAAAACAACTGGATTTGGGTATAGGGAATACCCATATGGATCGAAAGAGCTTAAAAAACTGCATTTGTCACTGTTAAAAAATACAGGGTGATCCATTTGAAATAACAAAGTTATGACCACTTTAATTTGGCCATGTTTGTCAGACAATTTTAAACGACCTGTACATGGATTCTGAAAATACAATTTAGTTTCATTTAGTAGTATGTCTGGATATCATCGATACTCAATTTCAAGCTTCTAGCTCCATTATTAACAGAGATATCACAGAAAATACATTCGACTGTTTTTCCAAAAAATATCAAAAAAATTGTAATATCTTAAAAATGGTGCATTTTTGGCATATGGTGTTATTATCAAAGTCTAGTTAAAAAAGGCCATAGAATTCAAAAATGAAGTTAAAAATGGCACTTTCCACATAAAACAACGAAGTTGGTGTCAACTTCCGGTATAACCGGAAGTGTAATCAAAATGAAAATATTTTAGATCAATTCATATTATCCAAAAAATACTATAACCAAAATTTTAGATTTTTAAGTCTTTTCATTATTGAGATACTTCTAATGGACGGTTATCGTGAAAAGCCCTGTATAGAGGAATTTCCATTCGCCATATTGATAATATCGTGCAAGTACCAAAATTAACAATCAATTATTCAAGAAGAATTATCATGGCCAACTTGTAAAACCTATTTAATTGAGAATAAGGCAGAAATGTAAGTGGTATATAAAATTTTTAATATCTTCAAAACTATTAGGTTTAGGTATAGGGAAGTAAACATGAATTTCCCTTATTTTCGACCGCTGATTTCATTAAAATAGAAAAAAAATGGTTTCTTTTTAAAGAAATGAAGAAATTTGATATTTTTGATGCTCAACTTAACGCATTTTTGCACACACCCTGTATAAAATAAAAAGTTTTTTTAACACAGATTCAAATACCTTTGACCTTGCTAGTAGCCCCTTACAGAAATCGTTTCCATATCTTTAAGGGGATTCCCATAAATAATAATTTATAAAAGCTTGCATCGGTCGAATTTTTCAAAAAAAAAACTAATAACTCAAAAAGTATGCATTTTTGAAAAAAGTGTTTCAGACAAAAGTACCCTAAAATTCCACGTAGTTTTCGAAAATATATTAACATACAGGGTGAAATAACAAAGTTGACGCCTACTTCCGGTATATCCGGAAGTGGTACGACTGTCAAAATATTTTTAATAACTTTCTCTTAACGCATAATAAATACATACCAAATATTGTTTAAATCGGATAAGTAATTTCCAATATACAAATAGTTTTAACTCATCGTGGGACACCCTGTATATAGGTAAATAATTCATTTGTGTGTTCGCATAGGAGCCCATACGCAAATCGATTTCCCTAACGAAATGGAAAACTATTCCCATATTTCTAAATCGTTGCGTTTTCCGGTAAATTTACCGAAATTAAAATGCGTAAAAAAAAAGCGGAATTGGAAAAATTCGAACCCCTTTTTCCTCCTCTTCCGATGATTTCCCCGGCTAAACAAATAAGGGATTTTTCGCCTGGACATTAAATTTTATAGTCCCCCGTATATTAGTTTAACATACGGTATACAGATGATGAAAAAAAATGCAATAAAATCAGATTAAAATCGGCCTTTACTCGTTCGGTTTTCCAGCGCTTTCCGCGTCCTTCGATCTCGATTTTTAAATCGATACTTCTTCTATTTACACACTGTGTACCAGTTTCTGAATTTCTTGCATTGTTTTCTTTTACGGTGGTGAAAAGTTCTCGTCCAGAATCATTTAGAACTATCTATAACCATTTAGAACGCTTCGGAACCGTTCACAACACTCCGGAGTGATGTAGAATGCTCCAGAATCATTAGAACTGTCTAGAATTTTATTATTTAGAACTGTCTAGAACCGTTTAGAACCGAAGAATCGTTTAAAACTGTCTAAAATCATTTAGAACAGTCCATAATTATTTAGAACTGTCTAAAAGTATTTAGAACGCTTCAAAACCATTCAGAACGCTCCAGAATCATTTAGAACTGTCTAGAACCATTTAGAATGCTCCAGAATCAGTAGAACTGTCTGGAATCATATATAAAAATGTCTAAAACCGTTCAGAAAGCTCCAGAATCATTTAGAACTGTCTAGAACCATTTAGAATGCTTCAGAATCAGTGGAACTGTCTGGAATCAAATATAAAAATGTCTAAAACCGTTCAGAAATCTCCAGAATCATTTAGAACTGTCTAGAACCATTTAGAATGCTCCAGAATCAGTAGAACTGTCTGGAATCATATATAAAAATATCTAAAACCGTTCAGAAAGCTCCAGAATCATTTAGAACTGTCTAGAACCATTTAGAATGCTTCAGAATCAGTGGAACTGTCTGGAATCAAATATAAAAATGTCTAAAACCGTTCAGAAATCTCCAGAATCATTTAGAACTGTCTAGAACCATTTAGAATGCTCCAGAATCAGTAGAACTGTCTGGAATCATATTTAAAAATGTCTAAAACCGTTCAGAAAGCTCCAGAGTTATTTAGAACTGTCTATTACCATTTAGAACGCTTCAAAACCATTTAGAACTATCTAAAACCATTTAGAACCTTCCATAATCATTTGGAACTGTCTAAAACCATTTAGAATGCTCCAGAATCATTAGAACTGTCTAGAATTTTATTATTTAGAACTGTCTGGAATCCTTTATAGAACTGTCTAGAACCGTTTAGAACCGAAGAATCATTTAAAACTGTCTAAAAAATTATTTAGAACAATCCATAATTATTTAGAACTGTCTAAAAGTATTTAGAACGCTTCAAAACCATTCAAAACGCTCCAGAATCATTTAGAACTGTCTAGAACCATTTAGAATGCTCCATAATCAGTAGAACTGTCTGGAATCATATATAAAAATGTCTAAAACCGTTTAGAACGCTCCAGAATCATTTAGAACCGTCTAGAACCAGTTAGAACGCTCCAGAACCATTTAGAACAATCCATAGTCATTTAGACACTGCAAAATAGTTTAAAACTGTCTAGAAATAAATATTTCGACTGGACAAGATGAAAAATTTCAATTTTTCAATCAAAATTCGCCGTCTTTCATTATCTGGCCGAGAACTTTTCACCTTACCCTTGTACTTTACAGAATATGCATTTCTAGGCATTTTTTCTATACTTATAAGGCGTATTCCTAACTAGTCAACCAACTAAACATCCCACTTCTGATTTCGCTTCACATCACACGTAAATTCAAAATAGTAATTATATTAATTCAAATTACCATTCAATCTACTCTACTATACCACATAGAATGCAAATTTCTGCATTGCGAAAACTAAATATTCATCAACTTTTTCTCATCCCCTGGTATACGTATAGAAAGGCCTTCGACCAAACTAGTCAACCAACTAAACATCCCACTTCTGATTTCGCTTTTACCATTCAATCTACTCTACTATACCACATAGAATGCAAATTTCTGCATTGCGAAAACAAAATATTTTTCATCAACTTTTTCTCATCCCCTGGTATACGTATAGAAAGGCCTTCGACCAAACTAGTCAACCAGCTAAACATCCCACTTCTGATTTCGCTTTTACCATTCAATCTACTCTACTATACCACATAGAATGCAAATTTCTGCATTGCGAAAACAAAATATTTTTCATCAACTTTTTCTCATCCCCTGGTATACGTATAGAAAGGCCTTCGACCAAACTAGTCAACCAACTAAACATCCCACTTCTGATTTCGCTTTTACCATTCAATCTACTCTACTATATCACATAGAATGCAAATTTCTGCATTGCGAAAACTAAATATTTTTCATCAACTTTTTCTCATCCCCTGGTATACGTATAGAAAGGCCTTCGACCAAACTAGTCAACCAACTAAACATCCCACTTCTGATTTCGCTTTTACCATTCAATCTACTCTACTATACCACATAGAATGCAAATTTCTGTATTGCATTCTTTGCTGTTTGCTTTATGTTTTATGTTTTTTATGTTTTTTTTTTTTTTCAGAATATAGATATTAAAGAGGACGTGTTGCCTTCGGAGCCGCTTTGCACCGCTCTAATGCAACTCGTCGCCGTCGTTTTGAAAAACGCTCCGTCGGGATGCCCTGCCAGTCGAATACAGGACATCGTCAGGTGAGTTTTTATAAATAAATAATTTATAAAATACGATAAAATACGATTTGCCCTTCAAGCGAGAGTTTGTTAGACTACTAGGTTTATTTGTTTTCGCTCTACGCGAATAGAGTGGGACTGTAAGGTGCGTTCGATGATACATGAAAAAGACAGCCAATCAAAATTGACTTTAACGAGGTTTCGATTGACATAAGTTTAATAGAGATGGGAGTTGTTTTTTTGGTTATAGAGGTGCAGTATAAAGACTGTGACAAAATAACCGTTATTTTTTCACATGTTCTTCCGAATACTCTGACTCATTTAAGCATTATGACCCGATATAAAAAAAAATCTTCTATACAAGTTGTCCGAATGAAAAGCAGCCCCTTAGTGAGCTAATAATTTTTAATTTAAACTTTTCAATTTAATTTCAAAACATTTATGTTTTTATGATTGGGATTGGGGTTTTTTTTTACTCTTTTCATTGCGACACCCGGTATTTTTAACTGTAAATTTTTGTATTTGCATATTTTGAAGGTTTTTAGTGCGTATTTTGCCATTTTTTAGCGCAAATTTTCAAGACTACATTCGGTTAATTGTCGATTTTTATGCGAGACACCCTGTATATATGTATTAAACGTCGATTGTAACATAACAATGGCGTCGAAGGGGATACTGTTCGATTTCGGGCGACAATGTTCGGCTCTAAAATGCTCTAAAATAGAGCGGGGGGGATCGTTAAAAGAAAGTTAAAAAAAAAGGAAACGGGGAAAAAGCTTTGATGGGAGAATTTCCATTCGATTGCATAAAGTGCATAATAGGAAAATGATTGGATCGACGAATAATGCAAGACGATTTTGCAATTATTAATAATCACCGATAAGAGGGACCGAAAAGGGTGGATCGAGAGAAGGACACTCGATTCGCGAGAATTTTCGTTTGTACGGGGTGTCCCGAAAAAGTGCCGTAGATTTTTTTATTGCGGATTTCTATACAGGGTGTTTTGCGTTATAAAAGGATATAAAGGGTTGAGGTCTACGTGCATGGTCACCTTGTATGTTAATAAAAATAATTATAAGATTTTTTTAAAAGTTCAGAACAATTATGAATCATTTATGAGCAATTCAGAATCATTCCGAACTGTTCTGATTCGTTTTGAACCATTCCGAATCATTTAAGAACAATTCAGAATCATTCCGAACTGTTCTTTTGAACCATTCCGAGTCATTTTAGAAAAATTCAGAATAATTCCGAACTGTTCTAATTCGCTTTGAACCATTTCGAATCATTTTTGAATCGTTGAATCTGATTCGTTTTCAAGCTGCTCTGATTCGTTCTGAACCATTTTGAGTCTTTTTTGACCAATTCAGGATTATTTTTGACCAATTCAGAATCATTTCGAACTTTTCTGATTCGTTTTGAACCATACCGAATTATTTTTGAACCATTTATAATCATTCAGAACTGCTCTGATTCGTTTTCAAGCTGCTCTGATTCGTTCTGAACCATTTCGAATCATTTTTGACCAATTCAGAATCATTCCGAACTGTTCTGATTCGTTTTGAACCATACCGAATTATTTTTGAACCATTTATAATCATTCAGAATTGCTCTGATTCGTTTTCATGCTGCTTTGATTCGTTCTGAACCATTCCGAGTCTTTTTTTGATCAATTCAGAATCATTTTTGACCAATTTAGAATCATTCCGAACTGTTCTGATTCGTTCTGAACCATTTCGAATCATTTTTGACCAATTCAGAATCATTTTTGACCAATTCAGAATCATTTTTGACCAATTCAGTATCATTCACAACTGCTCTGATTCGTTCTGAATCATAACGAATCATTTTTGAACCATTTATAATCAATCAGAACTGCTCTGATTCATTTTGAACCATTCCGAATCTTTTTTGACCAATTCAGAATTATTTTTGACCAATTCAGAATCATTCCGAACTGCTCTGATTCGTTCTGAACCATAACGAATCATTTTTGAACCATTTATAATCATTCAGAACTGCTCCGATTCGTTCCGAACCATTCCGAATCATTTTCGACCAATTCGGAATCGCTCCGAACACCATTCTACGGACAGTTCTGCGCGATTCGAAAGGTTTCGGGACAGTTTCCGAACCGTCCCGAAAAAAAAAACCAATCCACGAATCCAACACGCGCGTATCGCTTATATACGGGGCGCGTCGCGAAAGTTAATCCGACGAATTAAATTCGCGAAATTGTCCCGGTTGTCGAGGTTTCGCTCACAGCCACCCGCGCTCGACTCGTAATTAAGTTTGCTCAAGTTATTAGCTTCGTCGTGCGCTAGAGATTATAGTCCGAGTGTAGCTCTATTTATTGTAGAAAATAGCGCTTCTCAGATGGTAACCGAGAACCGAGTTCTGAGCCCCCCCCACCCTCCTCTTATATTCTGCGAGGGAATTTTTATGGAAAGTGTACTCTTAAGTATTAGAGCGTGTATTAAGAGCGGATTTTCTTTACGTCGTGTGACGAAATTAGGTTCGTATACTCCGTTCGCAATATACGGAATATTTCTGTAGGGACATTCTGTATAGATCGATTAAATTATTCAATCATTCCGAACTGTTTCTGTGTTTCAATCATGTTCGAACTATTCCGTTTTTTCGAAACTGTTTTGATTCATTCTGAACCACTCCGAATCATTTTAGAACATTCTCAGAACCATTCTGAACCGTTTGAGATCAAAATGGTACTCGCTTCGCTATCCGAATTATTGGGTACGCTCAGTATAGATCAATTAAATCATTCCGAACTGTTTTAAACCATTCTGAACTGTTCTAAATCATTCCTGTTTGTCCTGATTCATTCTGAACCATTCCGAATCATTTTCGAACTATTCAGAACCATTCCGAACTGTTCTAAATCATTCCGAACTGTTTTAAATCGTTCCGAACTGTTTTAAATCATTCCGAACAGTTCTAAACCATTCCGAACTGTTCTAAATCATTCCGATTTGTTCTGATTTATTCTGAACCATTCCGAATCATTTTCGAATTAATCAGAACAATTCCGAACCGTTCTAAATCATTCCAAATTGTTTTAATTTATTCTGAACCACTCCGAATCGTTTTAGAACATTTTAGAATCATTCTGAACCATTTGAGATCAAAATTACACTCATTCCACACTCATTCAACATCATTCCGAACTGTTCTAAATCATTCCGATTTGTCCTGATTCATTCTGAACCATTCCGAATCATTGTCGAACTATTCAGAACCATTCCGAACTGTTCTAAATCATTCCGAGTTGTTTTAAATCATTCCGAACTGTTTTAAATGATTCCGAACTGTTCTAAATCATTCCGAACTATTCTAAATCATTCCGAACTGTTCTAAATTATTCCGATTTGTCCTGATTCATTCTGAACCATTCCGAATCATTTTCGAACTATTTAAAACCATTCCGAACCGTTCTAAATCATTGCAAACTGTTTTGATTCATTCTGAACCACTCCGAATCATTTTAGAATATTCTCAGAACCAATCTGAACCGTTTGAGATCAAAATGATACCCCCTTCGCTATCCGAATTATTAGGGACACTCTGTATAGATCAATTAAATCATTACGAACTGTTTTAAACCATTTCGAACTGTTCTAAATCATTCTGAACCACTCCGAATCATTTCAGAACCGTTCCGAACCGTTTGTGATCTAAATTATACTCTATTCGCTATCCGAATTAAAAGGGACACTCTGTATATAGATCAATTAAAGCGATCCACACATCCAACGGACATCAGGTATACCTACCGGTTGTAACGCGATTAAACCGTCCCATCTGCGAAACGTTTCGAGCACTCATCATCATCGTCATCATCATGCATCATCGCTGTTTATCGTCCCGGCCAAATGGCGCAAAAGAAAGGGACCTTTTTTGGCGGCGCCGAAGGAACGATATATACAGTGTGTCTACTTAAGTTCGCACCATATGAAAAACTTTTTTATTATTAATTTTACGAAAAAAAGTTATTCCTAATAAAAAGTTCTGCATGTTTTAAAACCTAAAATACAATCATCAGATATCTAATTTTTTTCAGTCGTATACGAGGTTTGTCAGAAAATATGAATTTTGCTCAAAAGTAAAGTAAATCTATTTTTGAAAATATTGGAAATTGTTATCTGTTATCTCTTTATTCGTTAAAAATTTGATTACATTTACATCTCTTAACCTCTATGTTGCATTAGTTTGATTATGCATTGAAATAAATGATAACAAAATAATTTATTTTACAATAATTATCGACTACATAAAAACATTAAAAAATGTAATTTTTAGTCCTGATCAACTTTTCTTAATAACAATTTTCGATATTTTCAAAAATAAAGGTACTTTACTCTTGAGCAAAAAACACATTCTTTTGACAAACCTCGTATACGGATTAAAAAAATTGTTATCTGATGGTTGTATTTTAGGTTTTAAAACATGCAGAACTTTTTATGAAGAATAACTTTTTTCCTAAAATTAATAATAACAAAAGTTTTCCATATGGTGCGAACTTAAGTAGACACACTGTATATGTACAGAGCGTCCCCGCTAATCCGATAAGGTGTGATATATGCGACCGGTGTTAGAAGCATCAGAAGCTCAGAAGCGTATCGTTCGTTAATTTAGATCTAGAGTGTGCGGGTGTTTCGGGCACACATGGTGCTAATTTAACCGCTTTTAGTACGGGCGCTCGCGCGACAAACGAGATTTATTCGATGTAAGAGCGATCGAGGTGACCACCATTGTACAGGGTGTCCCACCAGAAGAGGTAACCGGCTGTATATCAGAAACTAATTGTCATGGAGACTTGCGGTAAAAAATCTTATTACTAAATTGGCAAAAAGAAAATGCTGGAAATACTTTTTAAGTCTCTAAAATGGCCGCTAGGGGGATTATCCGCCATCTTGATGTTGAAAAGTTGTTTTTTTCAAAATTTTCCTTAATAAAGGTATCAGAAATTTATTTTATTTTGGTACTTGGGATAATTGCAATTC